CCAAGTTGCGACAACGAGGTCAACCCACTTCTATAAGTCGAAAGGAGACTGCGACCATACCCAAAGCCACTACATCTTGGTCTTAACATCTTTAATTCATAATATTTTGTTACAAATAATTTATAAGGATTAAATCATACAGCTTTACCTTTTGTTTTTCATATTTTTGGGCTTTTTCCTATAGCTATCCTTACAGCACTATCTGGCTCCACTTTAGCCTTCAATTGGCCCCGTCAGGACATGGATCACTTGCTTTGCGTACGAGCCATCCTCCCATCCCCGGCCTCCTGTAAAATGCTGCCACTCGCTTCTCAACTCGTTTCTGGTTCTACTCAGAGTGTTAATCAGAAGAGGGGCTGCTGTGAAGTCCAACACTCGATGGCCAGTAATAATCAGCTTGTCAGGCTGTCACATTATTATGATTCTGGCGATTTGACCACCCTCTGGTCGGGCGGGTTTCAAATTGATCTACCCGAACAGCAGTCCTTCTTTCTTATGATCAGGTACCACAGTCGCTACCGTACCACCATCTAATTTAATATTATAATATTTGTATAAACACACCGTTATATTTTTCACCCTATTTTATTCCTGTTCATGTATATATCTTTTTATATAGAGACAGCATTTGTTGATCCTTGATCTGGAGATTGAAAGTCTTTATGTTCCTATTTTGAATGCCTATAAAGCTTTCTAATCAGAAAAAAGGCGAATTGTAGGCACTCAAAGCAAGATGAACTGGGCCTTTGAAAGTTCTATTTATTGGAACAGAAAGCTCCCCTTGGGAAAATTCATATGAATTCCAGGAATTAGCAATTAAATAATAAATTACAAATTGCTTATTATACTAAATTACGTATATATACATTTATTTATTTATTTATTTGAATGAGTATATTCTATAGTTACAATTAGTGCAAGCGTTTTCGTTTAAGCCTTTCCTGATACCTCCGCAGCATGTTTTCCCGCTTTTTATCCTAAATATTGTCCGTTAAAATTTTGCCATAAGCAATGATGAGAGGTGAATTTTTTACAAAATATTAATTTTTATTCGAAGATTTTAAGATCAAGATGGTTTGGCCCTTAGTATGGTCGCGATATCCTTTCTTTGTATAGGAGTAGTTTGATCTCCTTTTCGCCACTGGGTCTTATTGTCAGTCAGCTCTAGAGGAACGCACCTTGTCCGAAGTCCATAGTATCTATGCTAATTTGCTGTATCTAATTCCGGGCTTGATACCTTTTTAGACGCTTTGTCGATATCGTCAGTGCGTCCTGCCAGTCTTAGCACCATACTACGGCTCGTCAATAAGGCAAGTAAATGCGATCTTTTGACCAACCGTCTGCTGAACAATTGTGGTATCTCTCTGTTCTGACACATTCAACTAACTTATATCCTTCTACTCCCTTCACTATCACAATTTCTTACTTGCTTATTTAAACCTAGTTCAGGTGCACCCTTTGAGCAGATTTAATGAGGCTTACTCACACTCTCCGCTGGTTCCATAATTTCCTCCCATCACTGTTCTGGAATTGTTGATCCGAGTCTGACCTTTAGCCCGAAGTCCTCTTTATCCAGGCCATATCAGAGTCTCCCTTTCGCCTCGTAGGATCCGTCTCTTATCCCCTTGGTTTGATAATTTCCCTCGATCGCTTCCATCATATCATTGCTACTCGAGGCGTTATGTTCTACACTCTCCTTCAAGCTCTTGACAGCACATATCCTCCAGCCTTACTGAGAAGGACCCAAAAGTCTGGTTCCTCTAGCTTGATGAACAACTAACTTGACTCTTCCTATTCCCTTATAGACTGGGTAAATCTCGTGGTCAAGCCTTTACTTAATGGATCAAACTATCGAGCCAACTAACTCTTGTCTCCGCTTCTATCTATAATGCCCTAGTGTCTTGTGTTATAAACCTCAAATGCTATATCAACTTAATCTGCTTTGAGAGATACCACAACTGTTCATGAGATAGATGGTCAAAGGATCGACTTTAACTGTTTTTTGAAGAGTTGTAGTTTGACCCTAAGAATGGCAAGGCTTATTGAAGATGCCGGCTAAACGTCTGGGAATGTACCAAGTCCATAGTCCGGCATTGGAAATTATCTTGGGTACTATTAGCTCTGGACAAGGTCTTCTTGACAATGCAAGCAAGTTGCGCAAGCGAGGTCAAACTACTTTACTAGTTTTTATTCTCCAAAGTGGCGCAATAAAGTTTACATACTCCTTTATTCTTTTTTTTACTTCGATTCAGTAGTTTCTTTGGAATAACACTTATTTCACTAATTTGACCAGCTACTGTGCTCAAAATTTCTCTACTACTTACGTATAGGGATAGCCCTTATAATATTTAATGTTGTCGAATTCTCCAAAAGGAACTATTTTTTTTACATATTTTGCATTCAGTATAATGTTAAAGTATACCTATCTACGATCTTTCCTTGATTTTATTTGCTCCTTCAGTGAAATAAAAATTCACGACTTGTTTATTTAAAGGCATATGTTTTAACTACACTTTATAAGGAAAATAATCTTTGATCTTCGAAAAAATGTGATTGACCCAAAGCCATTCTTTTTGATCCACAATATAACGCAAACGATAATTATATGTTCTTCCCCTTATGTATTTTTTTAGTTCTCTATTCTTCATAACCTTCTGCTTTAATTTTCCTTTTCTTCAGACTGCCTGGAACTTCTCTTACTCCGCTTCCTCTCTCCTCCAACTCTGGACGACTATCTGCCTCTACCGAATTATTTAACTCTATGCCAGATCGTCTTTTCTTATTCGTCAGCATCTGCCTTCAGGGTGCTACTTTCTATGTGATCATTCAGGTATTATACATGCAGCCCCAAAATTCTAATTACTTAACATATTACAGCCTGGATGATTTACAATATCTCTTACTTATGCATTTGTCTCCTTCGTTAGACATTGTGCCAGCTACCTACCTGTTTATCTACCAGGGTATATAAAAATTATTTTTGATATCTCTTGCGCAGACCGGCAATCACCTATCCTAAAGTATTTTGCACACGCTAATTTATCTCAAATGTATTGCATTTTTATCATCTTCTGTAAACAAATGTACTAAAACTAGTGAGGCTTTTTGAATGTTAGCCAGGGGCCGCAAATATTACACGTGTATAAAAAATTTTAAATTTTGCTCATAACGAAAATTTGGACATTTAGGTTGAAGCATTTTAGCTTTGGTTTCCTATCTCACCCACAATACTTCCACATACCTCTCACTACTATGCACTTATAAATTCTTATCACTAGATTGCTTTATATATAACCAAATTTTTTGGGAAATTAACTGATTTCATAACTGTTTTGTCCAGTGGCTTATAGGAGAGAAGTACTTAAAGAATAGA